GCCTACTGCCTACTTAACCTTTACACGATTATTTGTTTGTTTCCCTCAACTGCATGAATTTCTCCAAAGCAAATGCCATCTTCTTCAATATTATATTCCAGCATGGTGCTGATACGGCTGGAGATCAGTACAAATTAATTGAATAAATAAGTTTCACAGATGAGGAAACTAAAGCTCAGAAAAAGAATATAATGTGTCCAACTCCACAGAGCCGATAACTAAGTAGTCTCCAGTCTTAGAAAGCCTCACCCAGGGATCTCTTGTGTTCCATTCTGCCACATCCTATACATGAAGAGGAAGAGTGAAAGGTCTCAGATGAACTCAAATTCAACAAGGCCAAAGGCAACCACTTCTTCCTTTTTTTCTTTTTCTTTTTTCTTTTTTTTTTTTTTTGACAGGCAGAGTGGACAGTGAGAGAGAGAGACAGAGAAAGGTCTTCCTTTGCCGCTGGTTCACCCTCCAATGGCCACCGCGCTGATCTGATGGCAGGAGCCAGGTGCTTCTCCTGGTCTCCCATGGGGTGCAGGGCCCAAGCACTTGGGCCATCCTCCACTGCACTCCCGGGCCACAGCAGAGAGCTGGCCTGGAAGAGGGGCAACCCGGACAGAATCCGGCGCCCCAACCGGGACTAGAACCTGGTGTGCCGGCGCCGCAAGGCGGAGGATTAGCCTACTAACCTGCGGCGCCAGCCGCAACCACTTCTTAAAAAAATAGTCTCCCATTCTGTGTTCCCTTTTTCTGTAAATGTTATCCCCAGTTGTTCCAGGAAGAACTTAAGTCATTCTTGACTCCCATGTCTCCCTATTCCTTCATCCTCCTCATCAACAAATCATACCAATTATAATTTTCAAAGTTAGTATCTCTCCAATATCTTCCCTTCTTTCTAAGTACTCTACCACTATCCTGGGTCCAAGCTCCATCATGCCTCACAAACCCCACACAAATGACTTACTTCTTGGTCTCTACACCTTCATGCTGGCCAAGCCTTTCCTCCAACCCCTTCTCCACTTAACAATCAGCATGATGTTTTTAATATTCTACAATGTCATTCATCTAGTGAATTAGAATCCTTCCTAGGTTCCCATCGCCCTTAGGACAAAGACTAAAGTTCACCTATAGATCAGAAAACCGCCTACTTTCTAGTTGTTGTCCACTTCCCCAGTCTCATTCTTCTTCTTTCTGGTCTCCCTCCCCTGGCTCTCTCAGTATGTACCAACCCTCATCCTCACACTTCTTCCCATTTTACTTTGAACATCCAATTCCCTTTGTCAGAAACCCTTTTGCCCTACTCTAAGCACCTCCCATTGCCATCTTGACTTGCTTCCTCTCATTTTTCAAGCCTCTTGAAGTGTCACTTCCTACAGGAGACATTCCTAACTTCTCCAGACAAGGGGAGAGCATCACATGAGGCACTTCTATCCCACTTTGCAGTACCTCCGTCTTCAGACACAGCATTCATCACACTTGCATCAGTTCAATGATTATCTCTCCCCTGGTAGAGTATAAGCTCCATAAGGGAAAGAGAAGCACTTCTTTTCCCTAGTGTATCCCACTTAGCACACAGTAGGCTGCTCACTTCATATTTCTGGTCAGAATGACAGGCTGGGGCCAGATGATAGAGGATTATAATGTCAGGCAAGTAAACTACAAGGCAAAGATTATTATCCCTTTGCAAATACGTAAACTGAGGGAGAAATAAATGTATACATGTTCAAGGTCATAAAGACAGCAGTGATGAGGCCAAATTTAACCCTTCATTCAGCTCATTTCTCCTCTCTATAATATCACAAAATCTCAGTGGGTAAGAGAACATTTCAGAAGATTCAGGGGGTCAGTTCAGTGGCATAGCAGGTAATGCCACCACCTACAGTGCCGGCAGCCCACATGGGCACCGGTGCAAGTCCCAGCTGCTCCACTTCTGATCCAGCTCTCTGCTAAGGCCTAGGAAAGCAGCAGAAGATGGCCCAAGTCCTTGGGCCCCTGCATCCACATGGAAGACCCAGAGGAAGCTCCCGACTCCTGCATTTGGATAAGCACAGCTCTGACCGTTGTGGCCAATTGGGGAGTGAACCAGCAGATGGAAGACCTCTCTCTCTCTCTCTCTTTTTCTGCCTCTCCTTCTCTTTCCGTGTAACTCTGACTTTCAAATCAATAAATAAATCTTAAAAGAAAAAAAAAAATTCAGAATGAGAAGGCGGCACAACAGTGGTCTAACATGACAGCTTCTGAATCACCTATCATACTAGTTGCCTCCCAGATGGACAGCAGTTAAATTTTCTATGCTTAGAGAAGCACTGTTAAGCAAAGAAACATAACCACCAGCACACCCTTATACTTAAGAGAGCAGTATAAAATAACAAACTTCTCTCCTCCACAAAAGCAAAGAAATCACCGGAGAGAAGGCTGTTGCCCATCCAAGCATTTTCAAACAAACAAGCAAACAATGGGCAGTTTGGCCACCTGGATTGCTGCCCAGCAATCCACAAGGAATAGGAAGAAAGAGAGTGGGAAAGACAGTCTTCCCACCACTCATGGGACGAAGGATAAGGAAAAAAAAAAAAAAAATATATATATATATATATACACATAATGAGGTGGCTACTTATTCTTTGGAAATTACTAGAACATTTCATGCTAAGCATTTAAAAACCTTGCTAACCCCTTGGCCATTCTTGATACAGGTGTTGGTGAAAGGAAAAGTGGCATGAGCTCAGCTGCAACATTTCATTGTCCACATGCTGCTGGAGCCAAATTACGTCTATCACAGAAACCGCAAACTGAGCCAAGGGGTCAGGCTCATTGCTGCTCATCCTGCCAAACACAGGCAGCAAGAAAGAGAAACCAAGGAGTCCTCCAAGAGGACTCTAAATAAATATTCACACAGTCTACACTCACCCCAGAGTTCCTGGGTGAGGTGGAGGAGGGGTGGATAGGGTGTTCAGAGCTTGGAAAAAGACTTAGAGAAAGAGATATGATACACTGGTTATAAAGGGGAGATTTTGAAATAGGCAAAATGTGAACTGCACATGGGGAGACAGAGAAAGAAACATAATGTTAAGAGATTGGGTGGGGCTAGGGGAGGAAGAGAAGAGACAGCAGGGTGTCTAGAAGAGCAGAGAATAAGTAACAGAGACTTGTAGGGAAAGGCAAAGGCAGACTGTCCATCTTGTCCCAAAGCCCAAAGCTGCTCATTGTATCCCCATAAATCACTCTACCACAAAGACCATGCAAAGGACTGCCCTTTGCTTTCAGGAACAAACAGCTTTTAACAAAGTATCACCCAGCTGCAACTTTGGAGACCTAAGGGTCTGAATTAAAAATGAACAACACTGCTTCAGCAAAGGAACACAGAGAATTAAAAATGAACAAAATTGGTTCAGCACCGGAAGACTGCCAGTAAATGACTTTCCCCCATTGCCTGACTCAGCTCGGAAAAGGTTTAGCTTTGTAGAGTTAAGCAAATAGTCTGGCATTTTATCCTTCTTTTGACATTCCGAGAGGGGGTGTGGTTGACCTCAGGCCCGTTCATTTCCAAGGTTGTAGATCTTGCAGTTAAGATTGGCCCATCTGTTCTGGAGCCAGCCAGCTGTTTATCTCAAACTAACATATTTACTGCACTCATCATCTCTGCAACACTTACAAGAGGAAAGCTAACATCATTCAAGTCAGAATGCTTTCTGTCCTGTTCAATGTGTTCGTTCCTTTTAAAAACTGGAAAAAACAAAACAAAACAAAACAAAACAAAAAAACGAAAACACAACACTGCAATGCTCCTTCGTTTCCCTGGCCAGTGTCACTCTTCCATGGGCACCTCTCAGTAATGGCAAATGAAGGTTAACAGCGCTTCTAACTTTCCCTTTCCTTAACGTGCTAAAATGAACCCAGCTTTCCCTAAATCGATCCCTTCTCCCGAACCGTTATTTGTGAGTGGTGGCTGTGCCTCAGGAAACGGCAGCTCATTCTGGTACCATTGTCAGTAGCAAGGAACCTATTGCAACGTAATTTAAAACACTCGCACAATCACACATCTGTGGGCTCCACTTTCAAACAACCGTGAATCCTGCAGTCCCGGAGAACGGAAAACACTTAACAAAAATGCTGCTTGCAGCAGCTTAAGGGGACCTTCCCCAGACACGTGAAATGTTTCTGACTGGCACCGAGCGCCCCATTAAAGGACACTGTCACCTCAAACAGCAGAAAAGGCGAGACCAACGACACAGACTTGCACACACAAAAATGAAGCCCCCCAAACTTAAGCTATTCGGAAGAGGCAGCTCATCTTCAAAAATGCATAGCGTGTGCTCGTCAAGCGACATGGCAATGTTCTCAAGTAGTGCGACCACATTCAATCACTGCCTCCACGTCTCCCCACGCATCACCCCTTCCCACTCAAACCTCAGCCCTCGGGCCGTCTGTGACAGGACCGCAGTCCCCCACCTCTGCCTCCCTCTGATTTTTCAAGAGCACTTCCCAACGTCCTTCGCAGCCCAGCCCCCTCTCTCAGCCTCCGAAAGGTTGAGGGGACTCGCGACTAGGGAATCGGCGGGGGAAGGTTGCTGGAGTTGTTCTGAGCAGTGACCCAAATTGCACAGAGCTTTTCCCATAGCAGCGAGGGTGAGCACCTTCCCAATGCGTCCCCTCCCCGCCCCCCCACCATCTTCCCAAAAGAAAGCCTGGAGAACTAAGCGGGAAGAATAACTTGGTAGAACCATTTGAATAAATCACTTCAACTCACCTGGTTTGGGATTTTTCTCCCCACCCCAGGCATAAACAGAAATGATATGCGAATGGGTCAACGCACGCAAGGGAAGGTGCTGCGATGTCCTAAGTCCAAGGGCTGGAGTCAGTCCTTGCCCTGGTGCTGCTGCTACTCTTAGCTCAGCTGGAGCGAGCGGCAATCACAAGCCCAGCAGCGGCAGGGGGGTGGATAGACCGTAGCACAATGAATGCAGTGGGGCTTTTGCGATGACATCATCCCTCTGCCCAAACGGCCCCAATAGCCATGCTCGGGAGCGGTGCATTCTGGGAATCGTAGTCTTCTTAAGTCCGGGCGGGACACTTAGGCCGCCACCGGAACTACAATGCCCGAGATGCGCCAAGGTCCGACGCACCCGGAGCGAAGGAGTGAAGGGACCTCGGCCGCCATGTTAGGAGTCTGGGACGACTCCGCGGAACCGGGAGAGGCTGTAGGGAACGCGGGAGCTGAGTGGTGGTGCAGTGGGGACGGTGAGGTGGAAGACGAGCGGTCTGAGAGCTGCGGGCACAAACACGGGAGGCCTCTTTGGGGGTTGATGGAGGGCGGCTCGGCATGGAGGCGGGGTATAGGGACGAATAAGCCGCGGCCTTACAGTCGTGCGGGGACTGCAGAGGGCCCTACGCTTCTTGTTCTATTTAAGAGATCGAGGGATATTCTGGAGTCGGAGCGGTAGGTGTCTTTGTTGAGGCTTGGAGACCCGGGACGGCCCGCTTTCACTCAGAAAGCAGTGCTTTCCCTGCCAGATGTGTTTCTGCTTCTTGCCATTTATTTCTCAGCCTTCCTTCATCACCCCTCCCCCCCCACACACACACAAGTTTCGGACCCTCGCTGGTTGTTTCTTGCGGGAATGGTATGCAGAGAGGTCGAAAGCAGTCATTGGAAGGTAGCCGAGCTCGAAAGGGACGATGATTTAACCCTGCAGATAAGTCAAGGAGCCGCTTAAAGGAGTGACACACCAGTTTTAAGACTTAAAACGACAGGATCTCACCTGCCACAGCAAGCAGATATTGAAAGGGAATGCTGTTGATAATTCTGAAGGCTGGCACTGGGTCTGGAGTAGCTGTGGTACTTGGATAAACCTAGAACACTGCGGGAAGTTGATTTGGATGGGTCACTAGTATCTTTAAAACGCGGTGTTTGATTTATGGTGCTCATGTATGATTACTTTAAGAACTTTTTATTACGTAGCTAAAGTCATTGTTAACTGTTTTTATCGCAAATGCACTATGTATTTTCCCCAAATGTGTTACTAAAAGTGCTGTGTGTTCTTTTGCAGAGTCTGTCTACACTGTGGGAAGATGGTAAAGTGCTTTTCCTCCTGAGGCTGTCTGGAAGGGTTAAAAATGATGATGATATGTACTTTGTGCTGTTCCCCCCTCCCCTTTTCCACATTATTCTGAAAACAAAATTTATAGTTACCTTGAGTCAGTTAAGTTAATGCACTACACCTCTCTGTTAGGAGTTAATAAAGTTACAGCTGATGAGTCCTGGTCTCAAAAGAAACAATAGGCAGAGTGATTAAAATGTCCACAACATGATTTAGAAGAAAAGTCTGGGAAGTACACAGATGATAACTACAAAAACAGTTTTTTGAAGAATGGTCTTGTATGTAATGTTTCAGAGAACAGGTCACAAGATGAATAGTTTTGTTTCATTTTAGGACAAAGGTATAAGTGTTGGTGACACTTGTCCAAGAATCCAGCGGTGAAATAGGCTTATACAAATACTTGTTAATCTAAAACACTTTTACAAGCAATGATGGTAAGTAAAGGAAAAGAAACAAAATGTTTATCGTTTTCTTTCTGACCTTTAATTTGTAGAAATGTTTCAAGCTTATCGTGAATCTTACTTTTTAAGATACTTTATGTAAGTCATAACCTCCATTTTGATTTACTGTTAAGATATTTTTAGGGGAAAAGAAGCAACAGATTGCTCAGAAGTTGTGTGTGTGTGAAAAACTTTGTAATGCAGTGATTTCTATAATTTGTCACATATTGGGTAGTTTGAAGTTTTCCCAACCTTAAATCTAATGAACAACTAATCAGAAAGACATGAAACAAATCATTTTCATCTTTAAAAAGATTATGATGTAACATTTTGCACTTAGAAACAAGTCTTGCGCTCTTTAGAAATTCCATTTACAAAATTAAGATTTGAAAATGTAGTGATGTTTGGTAGAGTAGGGAAACCTTGTGAAAGTAGAATTAGAAATGCCTTCAGGAGATAAGGCAACCCATGTTCTTTTCATCTTCAAAAGGAATTAGAACATTGATTTGTATTATGGGAAACTCACTAAAGGAATATTGAGTAATTTGCTGTTAACATTGAGAGTGTTTCAAAGAGGTAAGTGTCAGATCACTTACAGAATTGTGAAAAGGTAGTTATTGCTACCCATTTGCATTGAATTTTCCAGGGTTGGAACCAAGTATTGAGTATTTTTAAGGTTCTATAGGTAAGTCTACATGGATTGAGTGGAATGGTCTGCTACATCCTGTATTTGGATTTTTGTAGTATATCACACAAATAATCACGAAAATTTTAGGTTTACTGCTGATTGTACCCATGAATGAATTCTGAAAATATAGAGGGGAATAAATTTGGTGATCACCTTATATGGGGCAGTGGCAGGAGGGCCATGAAGTGGGAGGGAAAAAGCTGAACATTTCTTTGAGTGTCTTAGACACCCAATAAGAATTCAGTGCTATGATGGAATTATGATAGTTATTTAGAAACTTTTTGAAAATCGAGACATTTGGGGCCAGTGTTGTATCTTAGCACGTTCAACCCCTGCTTGTGACGCCAGTATTACGTACCAGAGTGCCAATTCCTTGTGGCTGCTTAGCTCCCAATCCAGCTTCTTGCTACCATGCTTGGAAAAGCCACAGATGATGGCCCAGGTGCTTGAGTTCCTGCCTCCCATGTGGGAGACCAGGATGGAGTTGCTGACTCTTGGCTTTGGCCTGATCCAGCCTTAGTATCACAGGCAGTTTGGGGACGGGGAACAATGGATGGAAAATTCTCAACCACTCGCCTCTTTGCCTCTCCCCCAACTTTTCCCTCTCCATCACTCTGACATTCAAATAAGTCTTTTTGTTAAAAATTGAAGCATCTAGAAAGAAGGGCAATATATTTTTGGGCTTTTTCTGAAAATAGTTTCTTTGTAATAATGTATTTCCTTGTCCTAAGTTAACTTAGTATTAAAACTTAACAGTAGTCATACTGCACACTAGTGGCAAGAGGCAGAGCTGGAGTTTTCTGTTTTTTCCTATTCAGTATTAGTGGTACAGCAAATTAGCTTTGTTTCTCTACTCTTTAAACTCTTTTCCCCTCACAATACTCATTTTAATTTCTTAAGAGTTTGATTCAGCTAAGAAGTTCATATTTACCTTTAATAAGTGGGGCTTGGAGTCTAATTTAAAGAGTACTCATTGAATTTCAGATTTAGATACTTCAGAGTGGTCAGATACTAAACAAACTTTCCAGAGTGGTTTGATACATTTAGTAGTGGAAGGTCCCTGTTTACAGATTAAGAAATGGAATAAGTGACTTGTGGTCACATAGGTAATGTAGTCTTCCCGATTCTTATCAAGTATACCATTATATAATCTTGGTAACAGATTATGCCTTCTGAAGTAAATGAAAGTAGTTCTGAGGCAAATCAAGAATAGAAACCCTTGGTTCTATCCTGTTGTGTTTGCTGTTTTAAATGATTTTTTTTTTTTAAAGATTTATCTATTTGAAAGAGAGGTCCTCCGTCTGCTGGTTCACTCCCCAAGTGTCTGCAGTGGCTGCAGCTGGGCCAATCTGAAGCCAGGAGCTTCTTCAGGTCTCCCACATAGGCGCAGGGGTCCAAGCACTAGGGCCGTCCTTCACTGCTTTCCCAGATCATAAGCCAGGAATTGGATCAGAGGAGGAGCAGCTGGAACATGAACTGGTGCCCATATGAGATGCTAACACTGCAAGCAGATGCTTAGGCTATTATAATACAGCACCAGGCCCATAAAATGACTTTTCTAGGTTGGCAATCATCTAGTTCCAGACTTATGGCTGTTTGTTTACTAAAATTTTCTTCTATTTAGCAGTGCTGTGATTTTAGTTTCACTCTTTAAGAAAGGTAAACATGGTCGGCGCCGTGGCTCACTAGGCTAATCCTCCAGCTAGCGGCACCAGCACACCGGGTTCTAGTCCTGGTCGGGGCGCCAGATTCTGTCCCGGTTGCCCCTCTTCCAGGCCAGCTCTCTGCTGTGGCCAGGGAGTGCAGTGGAGGATGCCCAAGTGCTTGGGCCCTGTACCCCATGGGAGACCAGGATAAGTACCTGGCTCCTGCCATTGGATCAGCGCAGTGCACCGGCCACGGCGGCCATTGGAGGGTGAACCAATGGCAAAGGAAGACCTTTCTCTCTGTCTCTCTCTCTCACTGTCCACTCTGCCTGTCAAAAAAATAAACAGCCGGCCGGCACTGTGGTGCAATGGGTTAATGCCCTTGCCTGAAGTGCCGGCATCCCATATGAGTGTGAGTTCGAGACCCAGCTGCTGCTCTTCCCATCTAGCTCTCTGCTATGGCCTGGGAGAGCAGTAGAAGATGGCCCAAGTCCTTGGGCCCCTGCACCTGCGTGGGAGACCTGGAGGTAACTTCTGGCCATTGTAGCCAATTGGGGATTGAACCATTGGATGGAAGACCTCTCTGCCTCTCTTCTCTCTGTGTAACTCTGACTTTCAAATAAATATATAAATCTTTAAAAAAAAATAAAAGTAAACAGCACTGTAGAGAATGAGTATAAATCAGTGGTTTGAAGACCACTGAGATTAGTAGAATAATTACTAAATAGTTACATAATTGCCATATTATCCCAAGGTATTGACCAGCTGAAAGTCCTGAATGTAAATGCAAATAAATGGAACATAGATCTCACTGGTAACAATGGAGTCTTTGGCAAGGGTTAGCATTGAGGGACCTTTGAAGACAATCCGTATTGGAAAGAGAATGCCTTAATACATTAAGAGAAAAGGGAGGGACTTAATGCATTTTAGACCTGAAAAAAAGATTTTAGTTTGGTTTTTGTGCTCCTATCACCATGGTAAGATCATTTTGTTGCTGCACATTAGCATCAATTAGAAAAGAATTGTTTTGGGGTTGCTTTTAACCCTGAGTTTTTTAGCTCCCTAAGTTTGTTTAGGGTCCATAAACTTTCAATACTTCATATTTTATATTTGAGTAAACAATATTCAGAAAATTATAAAAGTATAGTTTTCTTACCTTGGTAACTCAAGTGGTGTTTGTAATAAATTGGCATAATTTTAGCTACTGGACTTAATCTGCCACTGAAGATAAATGTAAATATCCTAAGGTCAAGAGTCAAAATCCAACTGTGTGATAAGTTCTCATCAAAATAACATCCATTTCTTTGATACAGTGATGACAGGGCTGCAGTCTTTCGACTTGTATCACCTAAGGAATGTTTCATTGCTTGTTATTGAATTATTTTACAAAGCAGCTATAGTGGTGGCTGAATTTTTAAAATTCCATAATTAAAGATTTCACCTCTGTACCTTGAAAAAGTTCCACAGCTGATTAAGAACATGAAGCCCTGTTGAGAATCACTGTAGCAGTTCCTTTTTAGAAATGTTTTAAATTAAGAAAAAGAATTGTTTTGCCTTATGAAGTACCAAAGGAATACTTTTAGGGTGGGCATTGTAGCACAGTGCATTAAGCTTCGGCTTGGGACAGCTGTGTTCCATGTCTGAGTGCCAGTTCAAGTCCTGCCTCTGATTGCAATGCAGCTTCCTGTTACTGAATCCTGGGAGGCAGCAGATAATGACTTAGGTACTTGTGGGTACCCAGGTGGAGCTCTGGCTTTGGGATGGCAAGGCCCTGGCTGTTGAGGCCTCTGGGGAGTGAACCAATGAATGAAGATCGATCATTCTCTTTCAAGTAGATGAAACTAAAAACCAACATTTTGAATAATGTTTTTATGTTCCAAGCTCCAACATTTTGAAGTAATGTTTTTATATTCCAAGCTATGAAGTTTGAGACAACTGCTGTTAAGTTTGTCTACCTTTCTTCTGAAATTGATGTTTATTTTTCAGAAGTGATAGGCCAACAGCCCAAAGGTAATATAGGCCCAGCTGCTATATTGAAAATCAATCAGAGTTGAAATAATAAGTAAATTTAAGGGGGGAACATTTTACCAAAATATCTTTAGAAACATCACCTTGGATAGAGTTAAATGTTTTCTACAGGTTCTACATACCTGTAATTGGCATGAATGAATGTACCATATAGATTTTGGCAATTAAGATTTTCTCCTGTAACTGCAGCAACTAAATAGCATGTACCAAATGTGTATTTTAAACAGTAAGAAAACTTTTCAATACTTCATATCTTAAAAGTCTTTTTCTTTGAGTAAACAATATTCAGGAAATTATAAAAGTATAGTTTTCTTACCTTGGCTGGTAACACAAGTAGTGTTTGTAACAAATTGGCATAATTTTAGCTGCTGGATTTAATCTGCCACTGAAGATAAATGTAAGTATCCCAAGGTCAAAAGTCCAAATCCAACTGCCCATACTTAATAATTAACAAGAAAAGCAAGTCCTATTTATCCTGTGATTTTACTTGTCAGTTTTAAACAGGTTTGGATACTTGAGGGGACCCAGCATTGTGGCACAGTGGGTTAAGCTGCTGCTTGAGAACAATACCATCCCATCTCAGAGTGCTGGTTCAAGTCCTGGTTGCCCTGCTTGCAGTCCAGCTTCCTGCTACTGTTTCTGGGAAGGCACTGGATAATGGCCCAAGTGCTTAGGACCCATACCTTACAAATGGGAAGACCCTGTGGAGTTCCTGGCTCTTGGCTTCATCTTGGACCAACCCTGGTTTTTATGGTCATTTGGGGAGTGAACCAGCAGCTGGAAGATTTCTCTGTGTGTGTATGTGTGTCTCCCTCTCTGGTGCTCTGCCCTTCAAATAGATAAGTCTAAAGAAGGTGGGGGAGAGGGCACTAGGAAAACAGTTCTTTGCAAGAGTGTATGAAGATGAATGTACTGAATATAAATGCTGTATGTTCATGAATATAGATATTTAAGGAGAGTACTGTCTGCACATGAACTTGCTGTAAAGGTTAATCTATTAGTTTTAAACCTGATTTTAACAGCTTTGTTGAGATCTAATTCACATGACCTGCAGTTTGACCATTTGTAGACAATGGGCTTGTTCACTATTGTGTAACCATCACCACAATCAATTTTAGAACATGTTTATCACCCAGTAAAGAAACTACTTATCCACCCTCTACCACAACCTTTTTAGGAATGTTCATCAGTCACTCTGCCCAACTCCTTATTTTATGAATTTAGTACATAGATGCTTTCCAAACTCATTGGCTCCCAGACTTGTTTGAGCTTCTTTATTACCAGCAGTTAAAATTCAATAGTCATAATTGTTGACTTAACCTAAGCAATGCATTATTTCCTTCTCTTCCCTCTTCTGCACTTTTGTATTTAAGTGCTGAGTGGAAGCTTTTATAATTCTTTAGTGCCTTTCCCCATCAGATTGGACAGTATTCTTTTGTTTGAATATCAGTGTATGTGGAGTCATTTCCTTGTGAATGGTTTGTGGTTTATATGAAAGAAAACTAGAAAATTTTGTTGTTGCCTATAAATGGTAATACACAAAGTACATCATTGCAGATAATACTGACATGAGAGAAAACTATAATTGGAATACTGTTTAAGTTTCAAATGTGAAGTATAAATGATCTTTACTGGTCACATGCTATTTTGATTTACTTACCATAAGTGGTGTAGTACAACATTCTCACAGTTGAGGATTTATTAAATGAAATTTTTGGTGAACTATTACCTTTTTTCAACACTTAGAATTCTACACTGCCCTGAAATCCAGCCAAAAAGAGATAGGGAAGAACTCTACGGTACTCCAGTAATTTTTAAAAGATGATTTTCTTTTGGTTATTTTTCAGGACTTTTTTAATTGCTTTTCTGACCAAACTTGTACTCCAAGTACAGTGCAAATTACTCGATTGCCAAAAAAAGTGTGGTAATGACAATGAGTCTCAGCTTCTTTTGAGAGAATAACTTGGTTATAAAAGATGGTGTTTGCTCTTCACATTTAACATAATTCTTATCTCCTAACCAAACATAAGTGGGATCCTCACAACCGCTGTTGGAGAAAATAATTGGCGCTCGGTTGAACCAGGAAGTTAGATTTGAACAGGATTTGTTCTTGCCTTGCTATGTTTATCAATATACATTATCTAGAGAAGAAATCTGAGACACTTGAATTTGATAGATTCGTTATGTGAGTGAAGTATGATTTTGCAAATACAGAAAGATGCACAAGGAGAAAAAGCAACTGATAATCTCAAGGAAACAAAGTCCACAAAACCCAGAAAGTCCAATTTTTCCATTACCTGAACTCAGCCCATTACCCAATAATTTAAATGAGCTGTTTTATCTCTTCAGAGACAACTACAGAATAAACAGAAGTCCATAAGAGAAAAAAAAACTGCAAAGATGGGTAATGGTTCATATCATAAAATGCAACCAAGGAAGTTGATCATTACAGCATCTGTAACCCAGTATGTTCAAATATTTCATTTCTTCTGAGGTATACAACAGAAAAAAGAACCTGAGGTTTCCAAGAAAATAAAAGGTTAACTGCCAGTTGAATTGCTCCCTGCTGTTAAGACAATCTGAACTACAGTGCATAGTACAAGGCCATATATGTGCAAAGAGTACTCCCTTAGTCTCAGAAGTTTAGGCTAAATTCTAACGCTATGTCCTTATATGTCACAGTCTAGAGGGAGGAAGAGACATGAAAATAATGTTAATATGGCCATTATTTTTGTCATGGGCCCAAACATACCCAGAATCAGAAAGGTATTTGGCACCCACGTTTAACTGCTAAGTTAGTTATTTAAAGTTACTGTGTTTTTGGTTTTTTTTGACAGGCAGAGTTAGAAAGGTCTTCCATTGGTTCACTCCCCAAATGGCTGCTACAGCCGGCACACTGCATGGATCTGAAGCCAGGAGCCAGGTGCTTTCTCCTGGTCTCCCATGCGGGTGCAAGCCCAAGCACTTGGGCCATCCTCCACTGCCTTCCCTGGCCGCAGCAGAGAGCTGGACTGGAAGAAGAGCAACCGGGACAGAATCCGGCACCCCAACCGGGACTAGAACCCGGGGTGCAGCGCCGCAGGCAGAGGATTAGCCAAATGAGCCGTGGCCCCAGCCAAGTTAATGTTAATATCAGTTATTAATACTTAGGAGGCTGTGATAAAAGTTTAGCTTCATGTAGGTGGTTCATTTATGTGCCTGAACCTGAGGAGAAATTCAAAAATTGTTGTTACTTGAGGTAACTCCATTTTTACATATATTTGATACTATGATAGAATTAGCTTGAAACAACATTTAACAGTTTGCAGATTAATAGCAAATTCCTCTGATAATACTGGCAGAGACATTTTATTAAAATATTTCTGTATTTATTGAGGTCAATGCAGAACTAGAGCCTAGTTGTCACATTGTATTTATACTATTATGATGGATATATCTGCTTAAGATCATTACCATGTAATCATGGAAAGTTGAAAGTAGTTTAGTCAAATATGGGTTTAAGTATAGATCCCAGTTTGAATTCAGTGCTTATTTTTTCAATGCTAATTAGGAGACTGAATACTATAAAAATAAAGTACCTACTTCACTGGATTTTCCAAAGAAATAAAGAAATGTGTGAATACTAAATAAATATTCAAAAGGCAGCATAGTGTAGTGACCAAGAATATAAACTGCAGAGCCAATTGGCCTGCCAATCACTTGACTTTGAGCAAGTTATTTAATTCTGCCTCAGTTTCTTTGAAGTGGGAATACATCCTCACTAGGTTGCTGGAATAATCAAATTATGTACAGCAGTGTCATGTGTGAGATCACTTTTTGAGGCAAAACATTTTTTGCACTGATTTTAATAGAGGTATTTAAAAAAAGCATTTTTTGGAAAATTGATTTTATTTGAAAGTCTGAGTTACTGAGAGGGAGAAAGCAAGATCCTTCATCCTTTGGTTCACTCCCCAAATTGCTGCAGTGGCCAGGGCTGCGTCACTTTGAAGCCAGGAACTCCATCTGGGTCTTCCATGTGGGTGGCTGGGGAGCAAGTGCTTGGTCTGTCTGCCCCTGTTTTCCCAGGCACACGAGCAGGGAGCTGGATTGGAGGTGCAGTGCCCTAATATGAGATGCTGGCGTAGCAGGTAAATGCTTAACCTGCTGTACCATGATGCCAACCCTACAGAAAACTAAACCATACTATTTATTTATTTATTTATTTGACAGGCAGAGTTAGAGAAAGAGACAGAGAAATGTCTTCCTTCCATTGGTTCACCCCCCAAATGGCCGCTACGGCCAGTGCGCTGTGCTGATCTGAAGCCAGGAGCCAGGTGCTTCCTCCTGGTCTCCCATGCGGGTGCAGGGCCCAAGGACCTGGGCCATCCTCCACTGCCTTCCCAGGCCACAGCAGAGAGCTGGACTGGAAGAGGGGCAACTGGGACTAGAACCCAGGGTGCTGGCGCCACAGGCGGAGGATTAGCCTAGTGAGCTGCGGTGCTGGCCCTAAACCATTTTTAATCATGAAGAATATGGTTTTCTCTTTCTTAGGTATTGTAAAGTAATGTTGCATCAGTTTTAACTTCACCAGGTACCTAGCTTAGTAAATGGTGCTTTGTATGTTATATAAATGTTATGTGTATATATGAAGAATTTTAAATTACCTGAGTTATTCTAATTCTATAACTGACATTTAAAGATTGAGATAAGGAAAGTATTTTCTGAGTAATGAAAATGTAACCATATTCAGAATTTGATTTGCAAATACTAGAAATGAGTTCAAGCTATATAGCTCACTTGAATGTTGGATTTCCAAGAATTCCAAAGGCATAGCTAAATAGGAAGAATTACTTTAGGGTCACACCTGGATGCTGGATTTCTGTTCTAGTAACAACTATGGAGTCAGCTTGAACAAATAACATTTTTAATATATCCTTATTTTTATAACATTTGACAACACCAAATACATAGTTGTCTGTAATGTTAGTTCTCTAAAGATGGTCTACCAACTTCCAGTATCAGAATCTCCTGGGATACAGGCTAAAAATACAGATAATGGTGTCTCAATCTAGATATACTGCTTTAAAATTTGAGAGTTAAGTATGGGAATCCTCATTTATAGTAAGTTTATTAGATGATTCTTCCACCTAATTCAATTACCAGTTTTACATGAAAGCAGCAAGGTAAGTAACTTGTCACAGTCAGGCTTTTAAATATAGAGTCTTGGTTCCTTTGTGTGTTCCTGATTTATTTTTTCCATGATTCTCCTTACTCTTGCTACAATTTGAAGAAAATTGCCAGAATTTTAAATAGGTTCCCATCTATGTATTCATATTCTATGTTCATATTCAGTGAAGAATGGAGTCCAATCACTTGAGCAAGTATTACTTATGCACAAAGGTTTATAGAAAAGTACATTCATGGCAATTAACTAAATATAAATATAATCAGTTTCATACTTCATCTTAAGCATTTAATTTTCTAAGTTTTTAATTAAGCTCTACAGTACTCTTATAGACATCTAGAATATCAGTATTTTGGGGGCACAGTTTCAACCAGTTCTAAACCTATTTCATTCTGTAACCATGTATTGAGTAAATATACCAAGTACAGAGAGGTACAAAGAGGACCGTGGCTCTAAACCATTAGACTCTTCTCCTTAGTGCTGTGGACCCGTTTGTCAGTGTAGTAAAGTTCATGATTCACTTGTCAAAAAACAGTTAACATGTTAAATACAATTGGAGCCAGTAGTACTGAAATGTTATCACAAAATGTAAAATTTTTGAGACACAAAAATAAGTATTTGTTAACTCGAGAGGTCTAGCAGTGGCTCAACAATTCATTTCAACATAGTGGTGAGGATGAGTGGTATTTTAAGTGTTCTGCAACAATTGTAATATGAAACTACATTCAATGTGAGTCACATATACTACTAGCTACTGTTATTGTCGACATTCAAATATTAAAAATTACCAGGAGTAGTAACTTTCCATCCTTTTTCCATCCAAGTTCATGGGCCCCCTAAATTCTGTCTATAAACTTACCAAGGCTTGGGTAAGATCTCTAGAGACTTAAGTATAAAAATTTGTTGTGCCTTAACCAATATAATGTACAATCAAAATATTCACGCCATAAGAGAAGTCTAAGGAAATTCTCATTTTCCCATAGTGAAGGCTAAGAAACTTCTTAGAAAATGCTAAATTACTTCTACTTGTTTCATCAGGCAGTAGCTCCTTTGCTGAGTGTGAGTTTAGTATCCAAGCTTAGCTGTATCCACTACATTTAGTACCTAGTTAAAGCTCAATAGAATAAGTTAATATTTTCAATGAGAAGTTTGAAATTTTAAAGAACATTCATAACAGGAAAACAAAACATGGAATAGTGTGCTGTAGGTGAATACATTGAAGGTATTTGTGGCCAAATAATGTCCATTGCGGTTAGAATTGAAGAGTAGGGCTAGCATCCTCAAATGATCTCACTAATGTGTAAGCTCTGTGAGAATTTTTGGCCACTTTGTTGACAATGTGATATATACCAAAAAGTCTAGCAACTTGGGTACCTCAGTTCTTTAGACATTCTCAAACATTACAGAATTAACCCAGCTCCAGCTGCGGAAATTTAAAATGCATCTTTTTCCTAGTAGACATTCAATAAATAAATGAAGGACAGTTTTTTTTTTTCCTTAACAGAAAGCAAATTTGTATTGCCATAAATATGTTTAGCCACCACTTAGATTATTTCAAGGTAGGAATTGCCTCCACTGAAAATTTAAGGCATTATAACAACAGGTTAAGCCACTGTTTGGGATACCTGCATCCCATATCTGAGTGCCAGATCAAATCCCAGTACCTCCGCCTCTGATCCAGCTTCCTATCCCAGCTTCCTGGGAGGAGCAGAGATCATTCAAGTGCTTGGGCCCCTGCCACCCATGTGGGAGACCCAGATAGAGTTCAGGCTCCTGGCTTCAGCTTGACCTAGCTCCGGTTGCATGGAAGTTATTTATTCATTCTCTCTCTCTCTCTCTCTCTCTCTCTCTCTCTCTCTCTCTCTCATGTTTTTGAGAGAGAGACTTTATATTCTTCATTTCAAGTGGGTTAAAATAAACATTAAAAATTAAGACAGGGCAAACATGTACAGTGGTTGTCATCACTTGGGATGCCTGCATCATGGATCAGAATGCTGGTTACAGCTACTTCGCCTCTGATCCAGCTTCCTGCTAACGTGTATCGTGGGAGGCAGCAAACAATGGCTCAAGAATTTGGGCCCCTGCCACCCATGTGGGAGACCAGATTGACTTTAGGGAGTGAGCTAGCAGAAGAGCTTGCTCTGTCACAAAAGAATAAAAATTGAGGCCCAATTCTATCTGGAGCCCTCCATTAAATGTAGAGGAGTTCAGAATAGAATCCGTGTTTGTTTGACATTTACCCTAGCAAGTTAGACATTTGTCATATATTGGAGTGCCTAGATTCAATTCCTGGTCCCAGCTTCTGAGTGCAGCTTCCTGCCAATGAAAACCTTGGAAGGCAACAGTGATGGCTCAAGTAATTGGGTTGCTGCCACCTATGGGGAGACCTGGATTGAGCTTTCAGTTTCTGGGCCCAGCTCTAGCTGTTGTGGGCATTTCACAATTGAACCAATGGAACTAGTGCTCTTCCTTGCCCGTATTCTCTTTCTTCCCCTCAAATGAATTGATTCCTTATTAAACAAACAAACCCAAGCTCCAAAAAATTAAAATTGCACAAAAACTGCTACTAGTATTTTTCCTTTTAGAGGAAACATGGGAAAAAATTATGTAGGGGGATTTCTAGACCTGTCTATCTCAGTTCTGTATTCACACCAAAAACTACTAATTGTGATCCTTTTTGCACATTTCTCAAACATGCAGTAACAATTTTGACACTAAGACCAGGTTACAAAATTTCTATAATTTTAAATGTATTTTAAAGTGTTTCACTTAAAGATGTATATTTTTTAAAAACTTTAAATATAGTGATGGCGTTGTGGGACATCAGGTTAAGCTACCACCGGCAATGCTGGCATCCCGTATGGGCACTGGTTTGAGTCCTGGCTGCTCCATTTCTGATCCAGCTCTCTGCTAATGTGCATGGGAAAGCAGTGGGAAGATGGCTCAAGTGCTTGGGTCCCTGTCACACATGTGGGAGACCTGGATGAAGTTCCCGGCTCCTGTCTTCAGCCTGCTCCAGCGCTGCCTATTGTGGCCATTTGGAGAGTGAATCAGTTGATGGAGGATATCTGTCTTTCCCTTCCCCTGTAACTCTGCATTTCAAATAAACAAATCTTTAAAAAATTAAATCTAAATAAGCTGTTGTTTGTGCTACAGCAATTTTTTCCCAGTTTGCCTTCTGTGTTAATCAGAATCTTTTCTACTGTACCATCCTAGAAAAATTTCAAGATTTCTGGATTTTATGTTGGTAATTAACGACTAGTCGGATTTTTTGATGCCTCTCCCCTCCCTAAATCAATAGATGTGCTTTCACATGTTAAATCTTTAAAAAGATTTATTTATTGTATTTGAAAGGCAGAGTTACAGAGAGAGAGGAAGAGACAAGAGATCTTCCATCTGCTGTCCTACTCCCCAGATGGCTGCAATGGCCAGACTTGGGCCAGTCCAAAGCCAGGAGCCAGTAGCTTCTTCTAGGTCTCCCACGTGGGTGCAGGGGCCCAAACATTTGGAGCATACTAAGCTGCTTTCCCAGGCACATTTGCAGGAGCAGCCAGGACTCAAACCATCGCCCCTGGGATGCGGCATCCCAGGTGGCAGCTTCACCTCCTATGCCACAATGCTGGCTCCTCACGTATTAAGAAGGAAGTAAATCAGTTTAGACAAAAACATTGTTGGGCTGATACAATGCTAATGAAAGTGAAGAGTGATTTTGAAGTGCTTCTGATCCACATTGGGAACACTAGACCAACATGTTTCTCTAAATTGGTATATGATACAAATTTTTCAGTTCTGACTCAGAAGCACATGTGTTGTTCAATACATAACTTGAGGAAGTTAAATAGAACCTGTGTTTTGCAGATAGGAAAATTAGGTACCTGGGAAGTAAAACCTGGCTTGACATGCATTGATCTGAAGCCATTTGCAAGGTTTATTCATCCTATGTAGTGTGAGGTTTTTTTTTTTTTTAAAGATCCATTTATTTATTTATTTGAAAGGTAGAGTTACAGAGAGGCAGAGATAGAAAGAGGTCTTCTGTCTGCTGTCTCATTGCCCAAATGGCCACAATGGCCAGAGCTGGGCCAATCTGGAGCTTCTTCAGGATTTTCCACATGGGTGCAGGGGCCCAGAGACTTGGGCCATCTTCCACTGCTCTCCCAGGCAATAACAGAGCTGGATCAGAAGTGGAGCAGCTGGACTTGAAACGGTGCCCATATGGTAAGCTGGCACTGCAGGCAGTGGTTTTACCCGCTACACCACAGCACCAGCTCCTCTTTCTCTATCTCTTTTTTTTTTTTTAAGACGACTTGTTCTCTTTTTTTTATTTATTTATTTTTTTATTTTTTGACAGGCAGAGTGGACAGTGAGAGAGAGAGAGAGAAAGGTCTTCCTTTGCCATTGGTTCACCCTCCAATGGCCGCCACGCCTGGCGCGCTGCGGCCGGCGCACCGCACTGATCTGATGGCAGGAGCCAGGAGCCAGGTGCTTTTCCTGGTCTCCCATGGAGTGCAGGGCCCAAGGACTTGGGCCATCCTCCACTGCACTCCCTGGCCACAGCAGAGAGCTGGCCTGGAAGAGGGGCAACCGGGACAGAATCTGGCGCCCTGACCGGGACTAGAACCCGGTGTGCCGTTGCCGCTAGGCGGAGGATTAGCCTAGTGAGCCGTGGCGCCGGCCCTCTCTATTTCTTAAAATAAAGCCTGCTCCCATCCTTGCACTCTATCTAGGTCTCTGCTTTGAATCCTTATCTCACATGGAGGCAAGAGCCTGGAATAAATATAGCTAGCGACTCTATCCCCACAACACTTCCCATTATATACAGTATGTGGACTCTTGCCATTCTAAACTACATTCTTGTGATCTCACCTGATCCCAAAGATTTAGGATAAGGGACTGTTGGTTCGTAGTCATTTCCTTTCCAGAATAGTCATCTATATCATTTGGTGCTTCGATGATATAGAATAATTTTAATTCCATTTTTTGACTTGCAGTCTTCATGCATACCATGTGGTGTGATTTTATATTTTTTTGTTTGTTCTTGTATTTTTTAAAAGGGTTTATTCATTCATTTATTTATTTGAGAGGCAGAGTTACAGACAGAGGGAGAGAAAGAGAGCAAGGTCTTCCAACCACTGGTTCACTCCCCAAATATCCACAATGGCTGGAGTTGGGCCCATCTGAAGCAGCAGCCAGGAGCTTCTTCTGGGTCTCCCAAGCTGTGCAGGGGCCCAAGCACTTGGTCCATCTTCTACTGTTTTCTCAGGCCATCAGCAGAGAACTGGATTGGAAGTGGAGCAGCCAGGACTGGAACTGACGCCAGTAGGGGATGCTGATGCTACAGACAGAAGATTAACCTACTATGCCTTAGTGCCAGCCCCCCAATTATATGTTTTGAAAATTATTATGAAAACTATGTAACATCACTTGACCTGAAAACAGTAGAACCTACTAATTGTAGGCTAATGGAGAGAGTTTGAAAATAATCTTTAAAATTCAAAATGTTCCCCAAAAGCTAATTACATCTCAGAATCAACTTGATCCTACCTTATAACTCTCCTTTTCCCTTAGTACAAAGCTGAAAAATGGCTGATTCATACACCAATAAGCTGTCTTTGGCAGCCAGATGTTATTTTTACCAATAAATGATATGTTATTTTCTTTGGTTTGTCACATTCTTAGCAGATATGCAATGGTTGGTTAATGGATAATGAAGTTGTTAAATTATAAAACTTTGATTGATTGAATAGTCCTTTAAGTAATAATTGACATATCACCCTTTATTTTCTGATCCTATTGTGATAGATTTTACACTAGTGAGATGGACTGATTCAGACAATCAAGGAAATACTGTGGAACATCTCTGACAGAATCTTGCCTGGTCCTAACAGGACACTGAATTGGAGTATGAGTCCCAGTGCATTAGAACTAGACTGTGAAAGGGACAGGTAGAGAGGGTGACATGTATTGACAGTTGCTCTTGTTTTCATGTGTTTAATGACATGAGCATAAAGCCATTACTGTAATATTTAAGTTTATCTTGAAAGGAAAAGTGTGAAATGGCTCCAGGATTAGTTGGTTTTCAGTGAAATAAGTTGTTTTCTTTCGGAACTTGATTCATTATAATTGCAGAATCAAAGAAAATGCTGTTTTATCAAAGCCTGTTTAATTCTGAATTTACTTAAATATAGTTATGTGGTAGAGCATTTTTAGATAGACTGCATTCATCTTTTCTGTTTTTGTCACCCAGTAATATACCTCATCATCAGCCATAGCAATATGACTGGACATGCAGGAGAACAAGTATTCATAATAGAATGTTAAGTTGCTTCCATAATCAGATGGCATTCCACTTTCCCTACCTTTTGTTCTCTTTTATTTACCCACTTATGTTTGTGTGCTATTAACTATATTGCAATATATGACCACTAATCTGTAACCTTTGACAGCATAAGCTAAACCATATTTTCACATTCTCTTCTACACTTAAAACAGAGCTTTTGTTTCCTTAACAAGTATTCATTGGGTATCCACTAGGTGTCAGATAATATAGTAGGCATATTCTGAGAATATCAAGATAAATACAGACATGCCTATGGGAGTTTGACAGTCTTGTTGAGTAGAAGTGGAAGGATAGATGTGCAAGCCAAAAATGCTACAGTATATTATAACTATTAAAATGGCAATAAAATGCCAGAACTTTTCATTTTATATTTAGTGATCATTCTATATCAATTAAATGCATAAAATGTATATGCTGGCATGAATGACTTATAATGGAAAATGCTGAATAGAACTGTATGGAAATTGAATAAGACATGCCAGTAGAAGGGGAGATATTTGATTCCAGGCAAGCTATTATGCAGCATGTATTTTCATCATAGCTTTAGGGTAAAACCTGTAACCTCAAAACCAATCACTATTTTGTTCCTTTTTTGTTTTTGTTTTCTGTTTTTGGTTCCTCTAGCATGTTAAAATTTTACTGTCAGTTCTAATTCTCATCTATCTTCCTTAGTCCTCACCCTTAATTTTCACATTTTCATTTGCCCTAATTAGTGCCAGCCTTAACTTTGAGTGGGCTAAGGTAGAGAACAAGAAAGTCATTTTCAAAAACATTTCACCAATAAGCCTGCCTCAGTGACTAAGTTTCCAGTGTTGTAATGTCATTCTTGGGCTTGGCGTCTGTTAGTGTAGCAGGTAAAGCCACTGAGATGCCAGCATCCCACATGGGGGCCTGTTCAGGTCCTAGCTGCCCCGCTTCTGATCCAGCTCCCTGCTAATGGCCTGAGAAGGCAGTGGACTATGGCCCAAGTGTTTAGGCCCCTGTCACCCTCGTGGGAGACCCAGATGAAGCTCCTGACACTTGCCTTTGGCCTGGTCCAATGCTGGTCATTGCAGCTATCTGGTGAGTGAACCAGTAGATGGAAGATGTCTCTCTCTCTCTCTCTCTCTCTCTCTCTCTCTCATTTTCAAAACAAATAATGAATTTTTAGAAGCCCGGGATTGCACTATAGTTGCCTATTGACCCGGAAAACTTATAGGCAAAACAGACCATGAGTTATATTTTTTCCTTTTAAACTTTTTAAATTAATTTTAAAATCTATGTATGTAAGATTCATTCTTTTGGTGTATAATTCTATGAAGTTTGATAAATGCATGGTCATGTAATCACCACCACAGTCAAGATATAGTTCCATCACCCAAAATATTCTTTTGTGCTGCCTCATTTATAATTTTAAGTTAAAAATAATTATTTTATTTTTCAAAAAATATTTGAATATTCCATTTTAATTAATTCCTTATTCAAAAAGTATGTCTTGGCCGGCACCGTGGCTCAATAGGCTAATCCTCCGCCTTGAGGTGCTGGCACACCGGGTTCTAGTCCCAGTCGGGGCACCGGATTCTGTCCCGGTTGCCCCTCTTCCAGGCCAGCTCTCTGCTATGGCCCGGGAGTGCAGTGGAGGATGGCCCAAGTGCTTGGGCCCTGCACCCCATGGGAGATGCCTTCGGATCAGCGCAATGCGCCAGCCGTGGTGGCCATTGGAGGGTGGAGGGTGAACCAACGGCAAAAAAAGGAAGACCTTTCTCTCTGTCTCTCTCTCTTACTGTCCACTCTGCCTGTCAAAAAAAAAAAAAAAAAAGTATGTCTTGGGGCCAACACTGTGGCATAATGTGTAAAGCCACTATCTGCAATGCCAGCATCCCATATGGGCACCAGTTCGAGTCCTGGCTGCTCCTCTTCTGATCCAGCTGTCTACTATGGCCTGGGAAAGCAGTAGAAGATGGCCCAAGTCCCTGGGCCCCTGCACCTGCAAGGGAAGACCCAGAGGAAATTCCTGGCTCCTGGCTTTGGATCAGCGCAGCTCCAGCCGTTGCAGCCAATTGGGGTGTGAACCAGCGAATGGAAGATTCATTCATTCTCTCTCTCTCTTTCTGGCTCTCCTCTCCTTTGTAACTCTGACTTTCAAATAAATAAATAAATCTTAAAAAAAATAAAAGTTTATCTTGGGGGCTGGTGCTGTGGTATAGCAGGTAAAGCTGCCACCTGCAGTGCCGGCATCCCCTTTGGCTGCTGGTTCGAGTCCTGGCTGCTCCACTTCTGAGCCAGCTCTCTACTGTGGCCTGGGAAAGCAGAAGAGGATGGCCCAAGTCCTTGGGTCCTTGCACCCACATGGGAGACTTGGAAGAAGCTCCTGGCTCCTGGCTTTGGATTAGTGCAGCTCTGGCCATTGAGGCCAACTGGGGAGTGAACCAGTGGATGGAAAACCTCTCTCTCTCTCTGCCTCTGCCTCTGTGTTGCTCTGCTTTTTGGAGTTAAGACTCTCTCTCTCTCCTTCCTTCCTTCCATCCCTCCTTCCTTCCTTCCTTCCTTCAGAGAAGGAGGAGAGAGATCTTCCATCAGCTAGTTCATTCCCTAGTGGCTGCAACATCCAGGGCTGGGCCAGGCTGAAGCCAGGAGCCAGAAGCCTTTTCAGGGTCTCCCACTTGGATGCAGGGGCCTAAGCACCTGGGCCGTCTACCGCCACTCTCCCAGGAGCATTAGCACGGAGCTGGATCAGAAGTGGAGCAACTGGGACTTGAACCAGCACCCATATGGGATGTTGGCACTGCAAGCAGTGACTTTACCCACTATGCCGCAGTGCCGGCATCAAGACTACCTTTTCTTTTTTAAGAAAGATTTATTTGTTCATTTATTTGAAAGGCAGAGTTATACACAGGCAGAGGCCGGGGGGGTGGGGGGTGGAGAGAGGTTTTCCATCCACTGGTTCACTCCCAAACTGGCCGTGGTGGTCGGCACTGCACCAATCCGAAGCCAGGAGCCAGGAGCTTCTTCTGGGTTCCCACATGGGTGCAGGGACCCAAAGATTTAGACAATCCTCCACTGCTTTCCCAGGAAATAGCAGAAGCTGGATCTCAAACTGGTGCCCATATGGGATGCTGGTACTGCAGGTGGCAGTTTTACCTGCTACGCCACAGCACTGACCCCAAGACTGCACCTTTTCTTTCTTTCTTTTTTATTTATTTATTTTTTAAATTTTTTGGCAGAGTGGACAGTGAGAGAGAGAGACAGAGAGAAAGGTCTTCCTTTTGCTGTTGGTTCACCCTCCAATGGCCGCCGCGGCCAGCACACTGCGGCCGGCGCACTGCGCTGATCCAATGGCAGGAGCCAGGTGCTTCTCCTGGTCTCCCGTGGGGTGCAGGGCCCAAGCACTTGGGCCATCCTCCACTGCAGTCCCTGGCCACAGCAGAGAGCTGGCCTGGAAGAGGGGCAACCAGGACAGAATCTGGCGCCCCCACCGGGAGCCTAGTGAGCCGTGGCGCCGGCCAAGACTGCACCTTTTCTAATAAGCCTCTGTAGAGATATGTACAAGGAGAGGCTAAACATTACTCCACTGTTCCTTAGTTTGTAGTTAAACTGCTGAAAAGAATTAGGAGTCAGAAAAGATCAAGGGTGTGTATGCTGGGTTGGATAGGAGATAGGAGTTCTGAACATTGAGGAGATTAGAGCCTGTAGACACAGTAATGTGCATGGTGGTGTAGATATGGATAGTGTTTTAAGTAGTGTCAGAGCACTGGATTCTAAGATAGGGAACATCAAAGAAAGAGGAAATGAGTCCTTGAAGAGGAGTGGTCTTCATGTAAAAATTGATCTATCTTACTCTAGAGCTATAGAGCTGGAATTCTAGTACTGATTCTACCAGTAACTTGTTCTTGAAAAGGCACCTCCCCTGTCTGGACTTAAATTTCATCATCTGTCAAAGAGAAGACTGGATTAAATATGTTTATTTCAGTGTTCTTTACTAGAGATAAAATTTATGTCTGTGCTTTTCTAAGGTTTTGTTCTCAAGTTCTTGGGTTTTCTCTAATTTATTTGAAAGAGAGAGAAAAGGAGAGAGAGAGAGAAACTCCCATCTGTGCTGGTTTACTTTCCAAATGCCCACAACAACCCTGGGCCAAGGGCCAATGCCAGGAGTCAGAAAATCAATCTGGGCCTCCCACATGGGTAGCAGAAATCCAACTACTTGAGCCATCGCCACTGCCTTCAAGAAAGCTGGAGTCAGGAACAGAGGTGGGTAATGAACCCAGACACTCTGAGGCAGGATGCTGGTATTCTAACCCTATTGATAATTCCCAATGTTCTTCTATTCTTACTTCCCCTGAGTCTGCAGCTGTTGTTCTTCTGGTTTGATTTTTGTTTTTTAATTTTTGTTAGTTACTTCTATAGGCTGAGACTTTTGCTATTTAACATACATTATTTAAAGACTTCTGTTGTGCTTCTATGCTTTGTAGGTGCTCAGATATGGCAAAATCACACCATGCCTCCCACTCCTACCCTGGATAGCAAATTCTTACAGCAGATCTCATTTCAATGAATATTTAAAGAAGCGCTAGAGATGGGGAAGATGGGGGAAAGATATGTGTGTCTTTAAATTGATAAGGAAAAGGAAAAGAACTAACATTTGAGGGCCTACTTTGTGCTAGGTTCTTTCTGCTTGGTATATTCTTTAGGTCATTGAGATAAACAGGTAGACATCATCTAGGAAGACTGTCTTGGTAACCAAAACAAAACAAAACAAAACAAAAAAAGGATTTCACATCACAAATCACTGGAACTATTCAGAATACTTGTTTTCCATGTCATTGAGGGCAATGAAAGCATAATGCCTCTATATGGTGTTTGGTAGATATTTGTTGAATAAGTAGGTATTTTTCTCATGATCTATGAAATTACTTCTTCCTATTTTGGGTCTGTGAACCTCTAAGAATTTTATAAGAACTATGAACTCATCTAGGATTTTACCCCTGCCATACACACACACTATACACAAAAAGAAATAGCCAAGTCCCTGTCCTTGCCTTAACCACCTCCATGTCTACATTTTTATATGTTTCCCTCTATCTCTCTCTCTCTTTAAATATTTACTCATGTATTTGAAAGGTAGAGTTACAGAGAGAGAGAGATCATCCATCTGTTGGTTCACTCTCCAAATGGCCACAACAGCTGGAGCTGGGCCCATCTGAAGCCAAGAGCCAGGAGCTTCTGGGTCTTCCCCGTGGGTACAAGGGCCCAAGTACTTGAGCCATCTTCTATTTCTTTCCCAGGCTCATTAGCAGAGAGTTGTATCAGAAATGGAGCAACCAGGACTTGAAACAGTGCCCATATGGGATGCCAGCAATGCAGGCAGTAGCTTTACCCGCTATGCCACAGTGCTGTCTTCTATAAATATATTTTGCAAAACCCAATCTTTCAGAATGTTTACAGCCCTGTTGGGTCCATTCACATGCTCCAGGTTTAGAACTCAGCTCTGGAAAGACGTCTTGGTACCTAGGTAGCATAGGAGCACAGTTCCACTAAATTAGAGCACTGCATAATGCAGTCTAGTGCTGCCATGCTTTATCAGTCCCTTACGGACAAGAAAATCATACCATGCCTGCTGACCATCTACTAGTGGTTATCTTCGGTTTTCTTTTATGAGCAGAACTTGCATCCAGCTTTCTTTCAGATTCATTAATGTGTGCTACAAAGAAAAGAAAATCAGTGCTGGAGCCAGAGTGGTGTAGTGAGTTAAGCTGCCATTGAGATGCCAGCATCCCATATCAGAGTGCCAGTTCCAGTCCTGGCTACTTTGCTTCCTGCTAATGCACCTGGGAAGGCATCAGAAGATGGCCCAGGTACTTGGGCCTCTGCCACACACATGAGAGTTCCTAGCTCCTAGCTTCAGCCTGGTCCCACCCTGTTTGCTGTAGCCATTTGGTGAGTGACCCAGTGAAAGGAAGATCGATCTCTGTCTTCCTCCACCCTGCCCTTGCTCTTTAAATAAATGAATATATAAATCTCAAAAGAAGAAAATCAGCATCGTACACTTTATCCTTTTTAGATTTTTGTAGTACTAATTATGCAAAGAACTTATTTGTCCCAAAGTTTATCCTCCAAGGGGGGTAACATGTTTTCTAGATAGAATAATCTTTATTTCCTTTTGTACAGGTCCCCATTCAGAAACTCACTTAGAACTCTGCTTGGGCAGTGTCCTCTTCTGTGAAATTTTACACAGGTACAGAAAGATGATGAAAAAATTGTCTTTCCTCATAGTGGAGGAGAATGACGTGTAAAACAAATATTCCAAATAATTCCAGATGGGATAAAAACCACTCCAACAAAATTTTGGTGGCTACATTCATTAAAGGAAGACTAAGTGCCATGTAAACTATAAAATTTTCTCAATACCTGTCTGGCCCTTACCTTGCTAGAGAAACTTCAGGGCTAAGTACAGTCTTATCTTACTTTATCTCCAGTTATATTTTCCCTAGTATACAAAACAAGATTACACCTAACATAGGCCTGTGATAGAAGAAACTAGAATTGTTCACTGTTATCTACTTATTTGAAAGGCAAAGTTACAAAGAGAAAGAGAGACAGAGAGAGAGAAAGAGAGAGTGCTCTTCTATAAGCTGGTTCACTCCCCCTGCTTTCCCACGTGCATTAGCAGGGAATTGGATCGGAAGTGGAGCAGCTAGGACTTGAATTGGCACCCATACTGGATGCTGGCATCCCAGGCAGCAGTTTTACCCACTATACCTCAACGCTGACCCCCACTATTACTATTAAAGTACAAAACAGAGAGGGAATTTGTTGATCCAATGGATTAATGTTTTGAGCATTTAATATATGCCAAGGGCTTTTACATTCTTAATTTAAGTTTTAAATAAACTTTCTGCATGGAGAGTGACAGAATCCATAGTGCACTTGCCCCAGGCAACACAGTTATAGCTAACACTTGAATGATTACTATAAGCAAAGGCACTACATGCATTTACAGGCATTTCATTCACATTTCTCATTTAATCTTTCTAATAAATCCAGAAGATTCAATTTATATTGCCATTCCTAGTTTGTCTAGAAAACTGAAACTTATAAGAGCTTAGAAAATTTGCCCAACAGTATTGCAAAGATGGGACTTTGAGCCCTGGCTGATTTGACACCATTCCAATGTACTTCTAAGCTTCCAGCACTAATCATGCAGCATCACCATCAGTTATGAAATAATGTGACTGTCCATGGCAGGGAGTCAGTGAGGGAGATATTGAGGGTGAGTCACTGCACTGCTTCTGAAAGATGTGATACCTTCCCTTGCAAACAAGTTTCTTGGGGTGAAATCAGGTTGGAAAGACAAGAGAGGGAGAAGAAGGTGGAGGTGGTGTAGTTGGGCCTGTTTAGGAACTGATTACAGCTGAGCCTCTGGCCCTTTTCCCTGCCAGCTGACTCAGAGCCGGTAGATGGGCCATAGCCCAGGCAGGTTGATTTCATGGACTGTGTACTTCAAAGGATCTGATTCCTGGCACTGCTATGCACTGTGCTTTTCAGAGGGCATAGCCTTGTGTCGGGGAGGGAACAGGATGGTCTCCATGAGATGTTTGTGAAAGCTGGAGGCAATGTTTGCTCTGAATCCAAATATATTGGTATGCAGCTTGTTCTGAGTTTGGCAGTAAAAACCACATGGCTAGTCCTAGTTAAGGCTGAAAATTGAGTATTTAAACCATAAGTATCCTGCAGAACAACAATGGTTAGACATGGGCCTTAGAGTCAGATAGACCTGGTTTCCAGTATTGGATTCACGATTCAACTGTGTATAAGTTACTAGGCCTCAGTTTTCTCATGTGTAAAATGGGCATTGCAGTAATGCTTACTTTACATGTTTATTTTGAGTATTAAAGAAAAATGAGTACAAGGCATATACCATAGTACCTAGGACATAATAACACTCTTGAAATGTTAGTCATTATTCAATGAAAACTCCTATTTTATAAGAGAATCTCAGAGCTTAAACAGAATGAATTAATTGGTTCATTATTTCACTTATCAGACATTCAAAAGGCATTTATCACTGTGTTGGGTGGGAGGGATAGAGAAAACAACTTTTGTTCAGCAACTAAAATGAGCTGATTTCTAAGAAAATTATTTTCTCCTTTAATATTCACAGTTGCCCTATAAAGTATTTTTCCCATGTTATAGCTGAGGTCACAGACTGGGAAGGGTTTAGTAACATGCCTAAGATCATATAGTCAGCACGGTCCTACTTCAAAGACTGTGAAAAAGGGTGCCTTTAACCTACTGGCCCAAGTTACTCAGCAGGCAGCCACGTGCCCCGGTACCAAAGTGCTGTTGTCAGGCTTTATACTAGGTGCTTGGTAGCACAGGGCAGGAAGGGCAAACTCTGGGGGTGGAGTGAAGGTAGTTTCCTTCACAGGAATAAATGCTGGTAGGATGGCTTCTGGTGGGAATGAGGTAGGGGACTTTTGTTGGTGGAGGAGTTATGGGAGCTTTTCCTGGGTTTCCCAAAGTCACACTAAAAGATTGGAGGAAGGTTTTTCTTGCCTTTTGGATCTAGCAATACAATTGCAGCAAATTTTAGCTAGCAAAGGAACTGTCTCCAGAGAGATCAGACAGTGTTGCTTATTTGAGGTGAAAAGGTGGAAGTTATATATAAATGATATCTGTCTGCATCATAATCATGTGGACTTCCTTGGGCTTTGGAACTGAACCTCATATTAATAATAGCAATTAGTTTTTACTACATGATGATTGGTATTTATCACTGCTGTGTTCATAGGCTAGAACTCTTAGCTGGATAAAGATAGAAAGACTTTTTCTAAGTCACAAATCTCAAATTATGTGTACTTAATTTGAGTATATACCCCAAATATATATGTATCACTTTGCAAATTATACACAGACACTATTGTACTAATACAGGACATGCTTTATGAAGTATATCAAAAATGAAGTTGAAATAAACTATTTTATCTCAGGGAAAATATGTACTTTTGTACCTGATCATTAATAGTGGATATAAATTAATATTTCAGGAAGACTTTGTAATAGTTTTAGATTCTTTTTGGTCAATTTGTCAAATTTGATTCAACAATCTGTATTTAACTTACAATGTGACTAATAAAGCACTCACACTAGGCCAGCGCCACGGCTCAATAGGCTAATCCTCTGCCTACGGCGTCGGCACACCGGGTTCTAGCCCTGGTCGGGGCGCCGAATTCTGTCCCGGTTGCTCCTCTTCCAGTCTAGCTCTCTGCTGTGGCCCAGGAAGGCAGTGGAGGATGGCCCAAGTGCTAGGGCCCTGCACCCGCATGGGCAACCAGGAGGAGCACCTGGCTCCTGGCTTCGGATCAGTGCGGTGCGCCGGCCGCAGCAGCCATTGAGGGGTGAACCAACGGAAAAAGGAAGCCTTTGTCTCTCTCTCTCACTGTCCACTCTGCCTGTCAAACAAACAAACCTCACACTAAGTAGAAGTGTAGTTCTGCGGGTTTTTTTTCTTGTCCTTATATGTATCATCTTCAACTCACAAGGTGTTCTCAGCAATCTTTTTAAACCAATTGTTCACTTTGTGCAATTTAACTTAGTGAAAATTAGATTCAAAAATCTTTAAATCCCTTTTTAAACTGCAGTATGTTGCCAAATGCTGAAAGAGCCTCCATTTATGCTTTACCTGACATGAGCACCCAAAGGGACCATGTAGGGATGTCATCTTAATGGAGCTTATGACTGTTGTTTTATCAAATAGCAAACATAAGTGGACATTACAAGCATTCTAGCCACACCTCAATGGATTGACTTGCATACCTCTAGAATGAGCACACTTCATTTTGGCAATCAGTAGTGTAAGGAACAGGACCTGTGGCCATAATGTGAGAATAACTAACCCTATCTTGAGCAATGTTTGGCTCAGATTCATTTATGAATGATAAATGGAAAGAGTAAAACAAGGTTTTTCGAGAAATCAGAAGATCTGAGTGTATCTGAACACTTAAGAGTGTGGAATTTCTGTACAAAGTCAGAAGCTACATTTGGCAGGTGCCTCAATGAAATACTTCCCAGTTTTTATTTATTTATTTATTTTTTTTTAGATAAATTGCCCATAGATTTAATCCCAGCCCTGCTATTGACTAGCAATACCACTTGGGGGAAAGCAACAACCTCTTGGAATATATTGCTTGTCTCTGACATGAAGATGATTAATATTTTACCTCACTGAGTAAAGCCTCACTGGCTTTACCGAGTGCAAGAGATATGGAGATAAACTCTTTACAAGCATCCATTTAATCTTCAACACGTTAGTGAGTAGAGGCTAGTTGGTTCACGCATCTGTTTTCTTTTTGCTCCTGAGCACACAGAGAAACTTCATCTCCTGGTTCCTCTCACATTTAGGTACCATCACATTACAGGGTTCTAGCGATGGAAATAGTGGTAAAAATGATCACCACTGTCTCCAGGTCCACAGAACTGTTCCTTGTAATTCTTCATGCTCTCTTTCTTCCCTCATCAGAGGATTAAACAGAATTATTGGTGTGAGAAAGTTCTCTCTTCCCGTCCCTACCACCAACCTGTACTGCACTCTGATGTGAGCCACATTTTACTGTGTCAAATCATTGAGATGTGTGGGATTGCTTGGTACATCATTTAGTGTACTCTAATTCCACAAGATTTGATCAGAACACAGTGAGGGGAGAAATAAATCATTTATAATTTCTGTCACATAATGTCCCATTAAGCCTTACTAACTTAAGAAAGATGTAAAATACTTTTATGAGATAACTTAGGAGCAAGCGTCTGTAAAAGTCCTTCAAGTAAAGTGTGAAAAATGTCAAGAATCAATTTGGAGCAGGTGTTATGGCACAGCAGGTCAAGCCACTGCTTGGGATACCCGCATCCCAAATCAGAGTGTCTGGTTCAAGTCCTGGCTACTCTGTGCTTCCAATTCAGCTTCACGCTAATGCACATGGGAGGCAGCAGATGGCCCAACTACCTGGGCTCCTGCGACCCATGTTGGGGACCCAGAAGGAGTGCCGGGCTCCTGGCTTTTTTGTGGCTTATTTCCAGCTATTGCAGACATTTGGGCAGTGAACCAGTAGATGAAAGATCTCTGTCACTCTGTCTTTCAAATTAATTACTAAAAAAAAAAGGAGTATCAGCATAGCCTCTCAAAAACATTTGCCTCTATCATCCTTATCATGATCTTCCCCTCAGTGCTAAGTTTTTGAAACATTCAGGAGCTGGACAATGGTTTTGAAGATGTGATAAATACTCATGGAGCTATGTAACAAAAAGGAAGAAAATAAGTGTTGTGTTAAGACAGACTGACCTTCAGTCTGGGCACAGCAACCACCTAGCTATATATGATCCCACTCTTAGGAGTCATAGTAAAATGAATATGGTAGGGGCTGGCACTGTGGCATAGTGGGTAAAGCCACCACCTGCAGTGCCAGTATCCCATATGGGCACTGGTTCGAGTCCTGGCTGCTCCACTTCCAAACCAGATCTCTGCTATGGCCTGGGAAAGTGGTTAAAGATGGTCCAGGTCCTTGGGCCCCTGCATGCACGTGGGAGACCAGGAAGAAGCTCTGGGCTCCTGCCTTCGACCTGGTCCAGCCCTAGCTATTGTGGCCATTTGGGGAGTGAACCAAAGGATAGAAGATCTCTTTCTCTCTCTCTGTGTATCTCTTCCTCTATCTTTAATTTTGCATTTCAAATAAATAAAAAATCTTTAGAAAGGAAAGGAAAAAGATAAGACAGAAGAGACTTTGCAGTCTTTATCTCACAAATTGGCAGTTGATTTTTTAAGAAACCAGGTGCTAGCACAAGAACTGGTATTAGGATGTGCTGCTGTTACTGACAACTACTACACTATCAGAAAATAATACTGAAGGTTTTACAACCAGGGTGTTCCCCAGATCAGGACAAGGGTGACGCAGCACTAGACTGAGACAGCTTCATTTTGCCAGGCCTTTGTGCTATTCTTGAGGCGATATCCTGTCCATGGAGAATTGCAGTTGGGAGAAAGACCACCTAGGAGGAAAGCACTTTTGAACAGCATGTTTTACAGCATCTCCTGTGTTCATTTGTTCTTTCTTTTTGCTTTTTTACTCAATGGAACCTTGCTGAAGAACCAGTCATGTACCAGGACTATACTGATCACTGAAAATGAGAGAAATATATCCTCAGTCAGGTTTTGAGGGAACTCTGTGACAATCATGTTAGGCTTCACAGCTTAGAGGTCCAGATATGTTCTCTGGAGGAAAAGGGCACAAGCTACCATCTATGGTGGGGAAAGTATGAGCTTTGGCATCAGAGGGATCAGCATTCCAATCAGGGTACAACTCACTTCCTGTGTGAACTTGAGCAAATCTCTCACATCTCTAAACCCCTATTCTCTCATCTGTTAAGTAAGAATGACACACTTTCCGTGAAAGGTGATTATGAAGATTCAATGGGGTCAGTGATATGATGTGCCTGGCCCTTAATGGAGAGCCCCCTTCTCATGAAAATGCTGTCCCTCTGCCTCTGCAACTTCTCCATTCCACTCCGGGTTACACTGTTATCTTTTGTGGTTTCTTTTCTTCCTTTAAACCTGACCTGAATTTACATTAAAACCTGGTCTCATACCCATAATAATGATAATAAAATAAGTGGAGAAGTGGGTGTGATACACAGTGTACTTTCCCCTAGCTAGGAAGCCATCCTCCCACTCTTCTTCCCACACAACCATTACTGTGTTAAACACAAATTACCAGGTCTCAATGGCTAGGAATCCTTCATTGTCCATATCATGTGTTTCTGGCTTTCCAAGATTTTTCCATCTGAAAGAGTGTATTTCATATGAGGCACTACTTCCACATTTGTTCTTTTTTTTTTTTTTTAAGATTTACTTATATATTTGAAAGGCAGACTTACAGAGAGAGGAGGAGAGACAGGGGGAGAGAGAGAGAGACCTTCCATCTGCTGGTTCACTCCCCAATGGCCATGACAGTGGGGCTGGGCCAGGCTGAAGCCAAGAACCTAGAACTCCACCCAGGCCCCCAAATGGGTAGCAGGGGCTCATGCACTTGGGCCATCATCTACTGCTTTCCAGGTACTTGAGCAGGGAGATGGATCAAAAGCATAACAGCCAGGATTTGAACTGACACTTGCATATGTGAGCCAGCATTGGAAGCTGTGGCTTAACCTACGGCACCGCAATGCCAGCCTCCACATTTGCTTTTATTCTTCAGTAACTGATCTGATTATTCAGAGGAAAAACAGATCATGTAAGCAAGTTGACTCTAAAGGAATTCTGAGTATTTCATTCTTGGGCCCTTGAAGCAGCAGGACAAAAGTCCTTTGTCTTCTCCTGCTTAGGACGGTGTTGGTTCCTTGTGTATATTTGAAACTGGCTGTAAACAGAAAGTAATTTATTTACTTAATTCTATACTCATTAATTAACTCAATAGGCATTTATTGAGCAACAAATATGTGCCAGGTCTGTGCTAGATCTTGGAGATGATGTACAAGTGAGAAATATAGATTAGACTCCTACCCTCATGAAACTTACATTCCACCAAGGTAGACAGCAAGACCTGAGTTGGAGAAGTTAATTTTAGAGAAATTAAGGGCTATAAAATGAGAGTGAGAAGGCTGGCAGAAGTCAAATTAAGTAGGGTTTTGTCAGCTAGGACTCCGGATTTTACTGTAGTCACAATTCATTCAGACTTCAACAAACACTGATTGAATGTGTAAATGTTTCAGGCACTGTTCTAAACACTGAACATGCATCAGTAACAAACATAAAAATCTCTTCCTCTTGACAGTTATATTCTAGTGAGTGACAGAGGCGATGAACAAAGTAAATAACTTAAATAGATGTTTTGTTGTTGTTGTTGTTGTTGTTTGGATAGGCAGAGTGGACAGTGAGAGAGAGACAGAGAGAAAGGTCTTCCTTTTGCCATTGGTTCACCCTCCAATGGCCGCCGTGGCCGGTGTACCGCTCTGATCTGAAGGCAGGAGCCAGGTGCTTATCCTGGTCTCCCATGGGGTGCAGGGCCCAAGCACTTGGGCCATCCTCCACTGCACTCCCTGGCCACAGCAGAGAGCTGGCCTGGAAGAGGGGCAACCGGGACAGAATCTGGTGCCCCGACTGGGACTAGAACCTGGTGTGCTGGCGCCGCAAGGCGGAGGATTAGCTATTGAGCCATGGCGCTGGCTAAATAGATGGTATTTTTGATAACACTAAAGAGAACAAAATATAAAAAAAGCAGTTAAGAAGTACAGGGTTATAAATTTAGGTGAGAGTAGCCAGATAAGGACTTACTTTAAAATTACATTTTAGTAAAGATTTGAAGTGTCCATGTCTATGTCCAGAGGCAGAACCAGGCCATTCCGATGTTTAGAAGTCAGAAATGGAGGCCAGCATTGTGGTGCAGTGGGTAAAGCTGCCACCTGCAATGTTGGTATACAATATGGGCACCAGTACATGTCCCAGCTGCTCCACTTCCAATCCAGGTCCCTGCTTAATTGCCTGGGAAAACAGCAGAAGATGGCTCAAGTGTTTAGGCTCCCACCACCCACGTGGGAGACCTGGATGAAGTTCTTGGCCTCTGGCTTCATCCTGGCCCAGCCCTGGCCATTGCGGCCATCTGGGGAGTGAACCAGGATATGGAAGATCTCTCTCTCTCTCTCTCTCTCTCTCTTTCTCTCTCTTCTCTCTCTCTGTAACTCTGACTTTCAAATAAATAAATCAGTCTCAAAAAAAAAAAAAAAAAAAGGAGAAAGAAGTATCTGGAAAAGTAAGAGAAAAATCAGCCATTTGCCCTGAAAGAAACTTTTTCTATATTTTGGTTTTTTTGGGGGTTATGCTTAGGAACTTTTCACCTATATCATGGCAGATACTCTCCTATGTAATTTCTTAGGATTTATATCATCTTTGGAACTGGCGCTGTGGCATAGTGGGTTAAACCACTGCCTGCAATGCCAACATCCTTATGAGCCCTGGTTCGAGTGCTGGCTGGTCCCCTTCTGATCCGGCTCCCTGCTAATGTACCTGGGAAAGCAGGGTAGTATGGTCCAAGTCCTTGGGCCCTTAGCATCCACGTGGGAAACCCAGAAGAAGCTACTGGCTTTGGTCTGGTCCAGCTCCAGACATTGCAGCCATTTGTGGGGTGAACCAGTGGATGGAAGATCTCTCTGTCACTCCCTCACTTTCCTTCTGTAACCCTGCCTTTCAAGTAAAATAAATGAGTCTTTAAAAAAAAATTTATATCATTCTATCTTCCACTTTTAGAAGTGTAATACACCTAGAATTGAATTTTTGTAGTTTTTCCTTTTTTAGCATATAGACATCTTGTGTGTCAGAGTCCCAATTTATTTTTTATTTTTAACTGATAAACAAAAATTGTGCATATTTATGGGGTACCAGATGATGTTTCAAGCCATATATATACATTGTGTAATATTCAAGTTAGGATAATCATATCTATTGCCTCAAAGATTCATCATTTCTGTAAGGTGAAAATACCCAAAATCTTATTCTAGCTTTGTTTTAGAAAGATATACAGTACATTATCATTATCTACAGTCACCCTACTGACTGTGCAATAAAACACAAGTTTCTTTCTCCCATCTAACTATAACTTGGTATTCATTAATCAAACTTCCCACGCTTCCTTTCCTCCTGAGTCTCTAGTAGCTACCATTCTAACCTCAACTTCAGTGAGAGTAACCTTTTCAGAGTTCACCTGTGAGTGAGATTATAGCATATAGATATCTAGTGACCCAACTCCACTTATTATTTTATTCTGAAATGCCACTTTTCTTTTTCTTTCTTTCTTTTTATCGTGATTGGTCGACAGGCAAGAGTTAGACAGTGAGAGAGAGAGAGACAGAGAAAGGTCTTCCTTCCGTTGGTTCACCCCTCAGATGGCCACCACAGCCAGTGCGCTGCGCCCATCTGAAGTCAGGAGCCAGGTGCTTCCTCCTGGTCTCCCATGCGGGTGCAGGGCCGAAGCACTTGGGCCATCCTTCGCTGCACTCCTGGGCCACAGTAGAGAGCTGGACTGGAAGAGGGGCAACTGGGACAGAATTTGATGCCCCAACCGGGACTAGAACCCAGGTTGCCGGCGCCGCAGGCAGAGGATTAGCCAAGTGAGCGCGGCGCTGGCCAATGCCACTTTTCTTATAAGTGCCACATGAGCATATGGTAGGTCAACTTTGTATTCCATTTTCTATTTTCTTTTAAAGAATTAATTAATTAATTAATTAATTTTTTCTGAAAAGCAGAGACAGACAAAAGTAGATCTCCCATCTGCTATTTCACTCCAGAAGTGCGTGCAATAGCAGGGCCAGCCCAAAGCCAGGATCGTGGAACTGGGTCTGGGTCTGGGTCTCTCACATGGGTAACAGGAACCCAAGTACTTGAGTGTCACCTGCTGCCTCCCACAGTGCACATCAGCAGGAAGTTGGAATGAGAGGCAAACCCAGGACTCATACCCAGACACTGTGACTCTCCCACGCCTGTCTTACCACTGTACAAAATGCCTACCCCTGTTCTGTTTTCTATTTTTGTACCATTACCATACTGACTTATTTACTATGGCTTTATAATAAGTCTTGATTTTGGATACATCAATTTCTTCTATCTTGTTTTTTTTTTTTTTTTTTCAAAAACATCTTTGCAATTCTTGGCCCTTTCCATTTTCTGCATTTCACTTTCTAATTCTAATAATTTATTTCATTCTACTATGTATCTGTAGATTCTGATAGATTTTATGTATGCCTTCATAACATCTATAAATCATGTCATTTTATATCTTCTTCTTCACTCTGAAATATGAAATGCCTCCTTTTTTCTCCTATTACAAATACTTCAAAAAAGTTAGTAGGAAATGGAATTTTAAAAAATTTTAAATGGAATTTTAAAAATGGATTTTTTCGTAAACACGTTTTCATGAGCTTTTTGAAGCCTCTTGTATGTTTAAATTTCATAAAGTTTTTGCTCAAAAATAAACATCACTTAATCTTATTTTTCCAAAAACTCTTTGAAGCATTCTTTTGCATTTTGAAAATAGTGATTAAGGGTGAGTATTTGGCCCAGTAGTTAAAATGCTGCTTGGGATGAATACATCCCATATCAGAGTGCCTGGATTCAAGTCCTGGTCCCCTTTTTGGTCCAGCTTCCTGTTAATATGCACTCTGGGAGACAACAGATGATGACTCAAGTCCCTGCCACTCACATGGGAGACCTGGACTGACTTATGGGTTCCTGGCCTTGGCCAGGCCTGGCTATGACTGTTGTGGGCATTCAGGGAGTGAACCAGCAGATGGTGAGATGGAAGATCTTTCTGTCTCTCTCTGCCTTTCAAGTAAAATGAAAAGAAGTAATTTAAAATAGAAACTCTTCTCTTTTAAAAAATTAACTCTTTTATTTATGTGGAATTTATTTTGGTATGAGTATGAGGTGAGGGCCCATGCTAATTCTTTTCCAGATGGATATTACGATTTTTACACATATTAAGTAACTTCAATAAGTTATTTCTATTCTTATTTACTTTTTCATACTTTGAAAATCACTAATGTGATGCCAAAGGAAAATTTTGTTAAGGTTTCTATTAGGATAGTTTAAATTATAAGTTCTATTTCTGATGTTGAACCTTCCTATCAGCAGAGACTGCTTTTCTAATTGTTCAAATCTGCTGTGGCCCTGAGCATTTAAATACAGATTTTGTGTATTTGTTTTCATTTTATTCCTAGATATTTACGCTTTCATTGATATTATTGATGACATTGCTTTCTCCTTATGTTCCTAGACTGGTCATTGTTTGCTTGAAAATTGAATATTAGCTTTTCTGTGAATTAGTTTTGTATTCCAACCACTAAACTAAATCTTCTTCTTCCTTTATAGTAGTTACTCAATTAATTCTCTTGTTTTTTTCTCAGATAAACAATTATATCACTGTAAACAACATGGTGGTTACTTCTTCCTGATTTTTTTTAAACTTCTTTTATTTATTTCCATTAAGGGATTTTAAGCAAGTTGCATATTAAAGGATAATATTGACTGCAAAAGAATCCAGGAAACCTCTAAAGTGTCTAAGTTAGTAGTCCAGATACCAAAAGCAGTGTCTTGGGCTGACAGAGTGACAGCAGAAATGGAGAGAAATGGATAGAATGGAGATATATTTTAGAGGTAAAATATGTAGCAGAGAACAAGTTAATCATATTATTCTAAAAATTTACAAACTTCTTAGAAATATCAGAATAAAAGAATTGTAGTTAGAAGAGTCCAAAAATACAATCAAGTATCTACTGCACTCTCATTTTTTTCTCAGATTCCCTCCAACTTCCTAGCCACTTCCAGTGTTAGAGGACTTAGTACCTCCCATAGCAGCCCACTCTTTTTTTGTCAATCTTTGTCAGCTATGGTGAGCTGTGGCCTCTGCTGGTTCACTCCCCAAGTGGCCGTAACGGCCGGGGCTGAGCCAAGCCAAAGACAGGATCCTGAAACTCCATCTGGATCTCCCACATGGGTGGCAGGGCCCCAAGTGCTTCAGCCACCTTCCCTTGCTTTCTCAGGTGCATTAGCAGGGAGCTAGCTGGGTTGAAGTGAACCAGCCAGGAATCAAACCTGTGCCCATTTGGGATGCCGGCTTTGTAGGAGGTGGTTTTACCTGCTGTGTCACAACACCAGGCCCTGTAGTTGAACATTCTTGTTCATACTTTTCATTTTCAGTTTAGAATTTACATTTTTTTAAACTAAGTGTTTTTTTTTTTAAACTATCTTCTTTAGGCACTTAATCAACCAATATATAAGGTATAATTAACTTTGGATACAAAAAGCAAAATACCCACCTTATTAGGTTCAGCAAATAATAGTTAATTAGAGTGGTGGAGTCATTTTTCCACAGAAAAGGCTGAGAATAAATAGATAATACATATGGAAGGAATCTAGCAACCTGATGAGTGTTAAGAGCAAAAAGATATGATTTCTCCGAACTAGATAATGATGTAGAGCCTACATTTACAGATAAAATTGTAACATCCAGTCTCAAATGAACAGGCTTTTTTTTTTCCATCAGTCCACTGCTCTTCCAAAGTAGTACTGTTAATTACATGTTCATAATTTCTGTCCTATTTAACAGTATATTCAATGAAGATGTTATCTTTTTGGTGAGGCACTTTGTGTAACATTTGACTATGACTATATTTACAGTGTCAAAAATCTTAACACAATTTGACATGTTTTTCTAAATGACTTGCAGGGAAATTTTGGGGAGGGAGGAGGATGAGATGAGTGATACTTTTCTGTAAAGACAGTGACCTTTCTCAATTCACAATTAAGACAGCTGTGAATTATAATGGGTTTCTGTGAGTATTATCATATCTAAACCCAACTGATGATATGATAGCTCAGGGACTAACTCCTTGTGCTCTGCCAGTGTTGTGGGCAGTTTGCTTCTCTGCATGATGAAAGACAATTTCTTCTGCCTGTTTTCTTTAAGCCTAAGTAACTGGGACTAGTGTAAAGAGCATTGGTTTTGCAACCAGATACTTCTGATCTCCAATTCTGACGTGAATTCTGCGAAATCCAAAAGTTTTTTTTATATTTCACTTGTTATTTTTCTAATTTGTTTTTATTATTATTATATGTTACAATATTTCTAAGTTTGCTATGAAATTAAATACAATGTGTGTGTGTGCGCGCGTGCTTGATTCATTCAATTTTTCATATATGAGTTTCAAAAAGCTCATAGAAATGGAGTTAAATAATAATGTGATTTTCCCATTAACTTTTTTTTTTTTTTGACAGGCAGAGTGGACAGTGAGAGAGAGAGACAGAGAGAAAGGTCTTCCTTTGCCGTTGGTTCACCCTCCAATGGCCACTGCGGCCGGCACATTGCGCTGATCGGATGGCAGGAGCCAGGTACTTCTCCTGGTCTCCCATGGGGTGCAGGGCCCAAGCACTTGGGCCATCCTCCACTGCACTCCCTGGCCACAGCAGAGAGCTGCCTGGAAAAGGGGCAGCCGGGAAAGAATCCGGCGCCCCGACGGGGACTACAACCCGGTGTGCCGGTGCCGCTAGGTGGAGGATTAGCCTAGTGAGCCGCAGCGCCAGCCCAGATTGAGTTCTTGGTTCCTGTCTTCAGACTAGCCCATCCCTGGTTGTTGTAGGCATTTGGAGAATCAATCAGGAGATAGGCAATCTCTCTCTCTCTGCCTTTCAAATAAATAATTAGGAAACAAAAATTAAAAAATAAG